CTCATTTCGAACGAACTTTAAGAATGAACGTTAATATTCTCTCAGATCTGGCAGTCCTTTCAATTTTATCTCATTTTTCAATAAATAGATTTGAAGCGAAGATTTGAGGCATAAGGCCTATAAATCCTCATGAGATAAAAACTGTAATGGTTGTAATTGCAGAGACCATTGTCGTTCTATAAGATGGTCCACAGTTAGTTGGATTGGTGAACAGAAGGATTAAAAGAAAGAGAGAAGCTGAAAGAAGACCACAAGTTTTCTTCCTGTGGACAACAGCCTCCAAGAGCCAGCACAGAATGAAAATCTCTTCCTGGATCTTGCGATCATTGTTTTTGTTTTCAGAGTTGTGTAACGATTGTTGACACGGGACGCAATTCACGACCGAGATGTCCCGTGATTCTGAACGTGTGCTACTGTCACAGATCAGCACGACTTTAATGATTACCGTAGCCGTTAAGTGAAAGACTTCAAAGGCTTTTTGGGAAGGAATGGAAGAGAAATTATGAAATAAGGCGTAGCCTTCGGCGTGGGTTGAATTTAGGGATAATTAGAGGAGGGATTTATTTCATTCTAACACAGACATGCTTTCGCCTGTGCGTCTTCTCTGATGCCCCTTTGCTAAAGGTCATTTAGGTAAGAGGAACTGCAACTGAGAAAGAACAGTTGTTCGAAGAGTCTCAACAAACACCAGATGAGACAGATGGACTCAACTCTCGCCAACAACAGACACAACATGAGAATCAGAGTTTTGCCGTGAACGATATAGACGGATGACATTTGCAGACGAGCAAAGTTCCTACGAAGAAGAAAAAAACTGCTAACAAGCTGAAATGGCAATGTGTAACACGAGAACAGAGAAATAGGAAAAAATGAAATAAACAAATGCGAAACCAATGGAGAATGGAAATGATGAAATTTGTCGTTCTTGAGTCTTTCTTCGAAAAAAATCAGAACCGGAGCAGTTAAAACTGAAAAGAAACTCAGAATTTAAAGTAGGTATGAGGTATTTCGCAAGAGGCAAAGAGCAAACTTGTCAAAAGTACGGTAA